TTTTAACGGAAGGRGTTTTTTTTTTTTTTTTTTTTTTGGGTCTTGTGGTGCTCGATTTCCCTTCTTTTCTGCCCTTTTTTTGTTCCCCATCATCTGTTAATACGGTGGTTTGCATCACGAAGAATGATTAGCATGGGTCTTGTGGTGCTCGATTTCCCTTTTTTTTTTCTTTTTTCTTTTTTTTGGTGAAATTTCGCACTTGCAGGGACCTGCCGGGAAGGCTTTCTTTTTTTTTTTTTTTTTTCCTAAAGTGACCCAGCCCCCGTCAGCGTAGAGCTGCTGGACCAATCAGGAGGGGAGGTTGTGAGTTCGAGGCTGGTGGCAGTGATTTCTCTTGGGCCTGAATCTCATGTGCGCATGGGCTCTTGCCTCAAGCGGCACTCGGAGCCACCGTTAGGCCCAGGGGAGGGGCCCGGCGCAGCCGGGGGGAGGGCCGGGTTGGGGGGGGGTGAGGGAGGTGAGGGAGGTAACGTAGTGTCTTAAGCCGATTACAACGCCTGCTCATTATCGCTGTATCTAGACTGAGTGTTGCCCCAAATACAGCTGTAATGACAGGGCGTTCTATTCGGGAGAACACTGTATACGAGTGAGATAGGGGTGTCTTGGAGGAGCAGTGGTTGGGAGTGGAGGTTTATACCTGAGCTATAATGACCCGGTGTTCTATTCGCGTTCTGCGGGACCTTAGTGCCGCTCATAGACTTGCCCCACCCCCTTGGAGCTGCCATGAGAGAACATGTAAGGGGAAGAAGGGGGGAGTTGGGGGCAGGGGAATCCTAGCGGCTGTTGCAGACACGAATCACGATAACGGAGAGAGAGAGAGAGAGAGAGAGAGAGAGGAAGAAAAGAAAGAGAGAGAAAATTTAAGGACGAAAGAAGAACTAGGAGCGGTTGTTGCAGCCAGGAATAACGATAACAGAAAGATGGAAAGACACAGAGTGCTGCTCGACGATGCAAAACGAATGATTGCAAACCATGCTGGATGACGCAAAACGAAAGGCTGCCACATTTAAATTTTCAAATTTGAAAAAGAAGAATAGTGACAATAATGACAAACAGTGGCCAGACCTGCTTTTCTTTTTTTTTCTTTTTTTTTTTCTTTTTTTTTTTTTAACCAGACCTGCTTTCAGTACATGCTTCTCAAGCTTTCCATTCCCAATCCGCACGTACAATTACTCAGCAACGCGTTGCACATTTTCCTCAATCCTCGACGCCGCGTTTCGACCGCTTGCGCTGCTGCCGTCATCACTCAGGAGACTTTCCACACTCCGCGCCTTACGGCTCCCACCATGCACGGTAGCACCGACTGAGTGTAGAGGGCGATCGAGGCCTTGCCCTCTATATGCGCAATGTACACCTTCGTCAGCAGAGAGAAGGAGCGACGGGTCTGGTCTGGCACCTACCGCCCACACGTGCAACAACCCCGTGCATCACTTGCACCTATCGTACTATTGTTGGTGCACGTGCATCAGTCCGCATCGGCATCAGTGCTTCCCGTTGCTCTGCCTCCGTTCTGCTCACCCACTCAAGCACTCTCCCTTGGGCAAGTGCTCACCACGCGCCCTCTCCTATTGAAAACCGTGCTGGACGACGCGAAACAAAAAGCTGCCTCGTTTTTTTTTTGTTTTTTTTTTTTTGTTTTTTTTTGTTGTTGTTAATGGTCCACGGATCAGATATTAAACTGATCAGAACAGATACTACACTTGATCTTACTTAGCCAAAAGGCCGCGAAAGGTATTCATTTAAAATTTCAAATTCGAAAACGAAGAAGCATAGTGATAAACAGAGGCCATTGACTGTCCTTCGTCCATGCTTCCACAGAAAATTCCATACTTAACCGCATGCACTGAGCTCAGAAGAAACGCGCTCATTCCCCTGCGCACGTTCAAGCCAGGGAGCGCACCTGGCACTCATCAGTGGCCCTTCTCCGCAGATCCACCTTTTACATTTTATCTCCGCAAGTACAGTTCTCAGCATGAGACGCGCAATTTCCCCATGAGACGCGCAATTTCCCCATGAGACGCGCAAAAATTTCCCCATGAGACGCGTTGTTTTGGGCCCAGGCTGCGCTCCTGGCAGTCCTCATGGAGGGCTCCTCCCAAAATCGACTTGCGGCACCCCCCCCCCCTCCCTTTTCGACCATATCGCTGCGAGGAGCTATAAGATCTGTTTGGCAGAGGAATCGAAATGCGGCATCCTGCTATTGGTGTTCCATTGGAAAAATGGTGAGTAGAAAGCTCAAAAAAAAAAAAAAGAAAAAAAAAAAGATCTGTTTGGCAGAGGAATCGAAGTGTTAGGGAGATTCCTCTGCCAAACAGATCGCAGAGGAAGCGGAATGTTTGGGAGATTAAAAAAAAAAAAAAAAAAAAAAAGTTTGGGAGATTTTTGTGCAACCATTTCGCGGTTGCTCAGCAGGAAAGAGGAGCTTAGCTGTACCTGTATGCAGTATGAAGGTAAGAATATTTTTTTCCTTACCAACGAGTTGTTCACTGTAATGTCGAGGAAGCCGCGGCTGTGTTGTGCGAAAAACGTTTATCTTTTGGAATCATGCACTTCTTTTTTTCTTTTCTTTTTTTTCCCCCTTGAACTATTTAGGAATGAAGTTCAATGAACGGTCGAAGTTTTGCCAGTCTTTAAAAACTCTTAAGAATTATGCTGTCCACGAAGAGGTAAGAGTGAAAAAAAAAACTCTTAAAAAACGAAAAAGAAAACGACAAATTCTGTAAGAAATTGTGTCAGCAGGCGGATCCCCTTCTTAAGCGTCCGCACAGGGCAATTTTTTTTTTTTATTATTTTTTTGCACAGGGCAATTCTTTTTTTTTTTTTTTTTTTTTTTTTGTGCACAGGGCAATTCTTACTACTACGGGATGACTTCTCCTTGGTATGGTACCACCGTGGAGTTCTTTCCCCAGTTCCCACCATCTCGGATTCGAACCAGCGATCTCATTATAACCAGAAACAGTGTACCGCTCACCAACGGGCCTACTTAGGGCGAGATCCCACTGGCAAAGAGGATTGTAGCGAGTGTCTGAATGTGGACGTGTTTGTGGACGGGTGCGAAAATTTGTGATTGATCTTCTTTTCTGCATCTCTGTGTGGAACCCGTCCAGATTCAGACTCTTATTCCAATCCTCTTAGCAAGCGCGATCTGGTCCTTAGCTCAGTTGGTACACCCCCCCTGGACTGTTGAAATAGAGACTCAAGTTCGGACCCAGATACCTTCAGATGAACAGAGTAAGATTAAAAAAAAAAAAAAAAAAAAAAAAAGAAGATCATTCTGAATTGCCTGCCGACGGTCAGTTCAATGATGATGATACTATCTAAGGGCCGTCGCCCTTTTAAACAGAAAAAAGAAGAAACTGAGTCCCGGAGCCAAGTCCCACTAGCAGCGTTGAGCTATCTCAACGCCAGAATCTGGACGTGTTTGTGGAGACGTGCAGTTTCAGGAAACTCAACACCATTTCTGCACATCTCCGCAAAAGCGTCCAGATTCAGGCGTTGACGTAGCTCAACGCTGCTAGTGGGACTTGGCCCCCGCTCAACCACACACACGAGGTAGGGATAAATTCCGTAGAAGCGAACTTGGGCCGCTTTCCAATGGAACACCACTGAGGGAAAAAGGGGAAAAGAAACAGATTTCAGAAGGGGGAAAAAAAAAAAAACAGCCAAAGAAAAAGAAAAACAAACGCAAGCATAAAAAAAAAAAAAAAAAAAAAAAAGACGTTCGGTGGAGAAGAGAATTAATATACTATAGCCGCGCAGTGCGATGACTGCGACCATGATAACAGCATGGGTTGGCTATGGAGAGAGAGAGGGGGGGAAGGGAAGAGGGGGGGGGAGGGGGCGGGGGGGGGGGGGGGAATTGGGTAGTCATGGAATGAACATGTAAGATGGGGAACGCTCAAGCTGAGGAGGTCCCACTTACACAGATCCTAAGTAGTTTTCAGATTGGACATAAGGAATCTAAATTGCAATCCCGTCCCTTCATATTACTGCTAGTTTGATCTACTTGACCAATCTGCGGCCATAAGAGAAGAAGTCGGGAAAGTAAAAAGATAAAAGAAAAAAGAAAAAAGAAAAAAAAAGGAAATTCGGGAAAAGTTGCACCTCGCCCCCAACCATCAACACGGATTATAACACGGCGCACTTGCCGAAAGCCAAGTCATGGGAATGCACTTTCGCGCATCTGTATCTGTACAGTAACAGCGAACTGATTCCTTCTGCAATACTCCGCCTGCCTGCCGTTCTGGTCATGCTTTTCTCTCTCTCTCTCTCTCTCTCTCTCTCTCTCTCTCTCTCTCTCTCTCTCTCTCTCTCTCTCTCTCTCTCTCT